GACTGCTCTGCGCAGATTTTTCTTATTAGTGAAATACATGCTAGGCAGGTCTGTTAAAAGCAACTTGTAACAAAGAAAACCAGCAACTTACAGAAAAGCTCTACCCTGAGCAGTAGGTAGCTCTGTGATGGGATTTTTTTTCTTGGAGTTGCTCACGAGAAGTATTCAGAGTGTATTCCACTTCAGTGTTGGAAACATGGGTTTGGTAATACGGGAAGCGTGTTCCCTAGACCAGATGAAGGGCTTGCAACGCCTGGTATTAGTAGAGCAGCCAGGAGCGACAGCTCAACACCGAACGCCTAACACGGCTGCCTTGCTGCGGCTTTGTGAGCTTTGACGGAATAGGGTATCGACAGAGTGGGAGGGGGAAGCAGCTGGATGCACTGCAGAGACCGGGCTCGCCTAAGAGAATCTGTAACAACCACCCTCCAATTATTTGCCTCGGACCCCTATTAGATAAGAGGGTGCTGGTTACCGTGCATTGGGAGCAGCAGGGAGGATACCATGGGGAGACCCGCTGCTGCCTGCCAGGTGCCCGCTGACTCCAGGGAGGAACCAAAAGCCCACATCCTTGTTGAATGAAAGGACGTTCTTTCAGATGTCCTTCTTCCTCTTCAACTCACTCTTTCTTTATGAAGCAAGGCTGGTTTGCTACACACTTTTGAACACCAGTTTCTTGTCTTTTTCATGGGTAAAATTACTATTTTTGTTCTGTCTGTGCCTGGGAAGAAGTCTCACTTCTCATTAAGTAGGTCTTACGAGGGAGAGGGTGTATGTAGATAAAGAAGTCTTAATGCACAGTTTTAAAAAAAGTTTACTTAAGGAGTCATATATACAGTCATAAATAGAATCATCACCTTGTACTTAGCTCTCAGATACAACTTTTTGTGTTCAAAGTGCCTTGCAGCTATTGTCTGAAGCTAGGTTCTTCCGTAATACATGAAAAAACTGTGTTCCAATTCTTCAGGTCAAGGCAGAAAAGTTAAATGACTTCTTCACAGCCACAGCTAAAAATTACTGACGAAAGTCAGGACTAATTTTCTGGACTTCTTGTGTACAGATCTCAATAGACAGCTTCCTCACAGAGATATCAACTTTATTAATAAAATGTCTGGTTTTAAGTTTTGTTTTTATTATGTTTCTTTTGTTCTATAAACAAAGTAATTAAGTTAATAACATATGTATTAAAATCTAGGCATACTTAAAATATGCCAGAGCCACATTTTAAACACAAAAAAGGATTTGCATGTATAGTTTTCAGCATCCTAGGCCCGATACTGCTTTAATACACAACCACGGCAGCTCCCCAGAGGCACACATGAAGAACACTTCCGTGATTACAGTGGTCTTCCAGGCGGCCATGGATCTTGAGAAGTCTAAAAATAGGCTCAATGTGCGAATGCAAAGATGGAACACTTTTTTTTTTTTTCCCTGTGAGTGCAGTTCTACAGTTCATTATCACCCAGGTAGAAAACCTTCATTTGGCAAATAGAAAACTACACTTTGAAAAAACCAGACAATTATACAAAAGGAAATCACAAAAATATTGCCTTTTAAAAGGCTACACGTGGTCATTTTTAAATGAAAACACTATACATTAAGTATCTAGGAAAAGACCAGCAGTGTTCTTTACCAGGAGCACACCTAAAACACAAACACACCCAGCGAGCCATCCCCTGCCACCACCAAGACTGCTTTTCCCATGCCTGTACCCCTCTCATGCTAACGCTTTCTTCACTAAAAGCTATAAATAAGTCTGTTTTCTACAGATCTCTTAAGTTAAAGTAAGTGAATTCTGACCAGAATAGAAACAAAACTGAGTGCGGTAAGGCCACAAAACCAACGCCGTAGTCCCAAGCCTCCTGGCAGAATTAATCCAGCGCAGTCTGAACGCAGAAGGAGTAAATCTTCAGTACTGACATATTTGTGAGGAAGATCAGTCTGTACGTGCAAGCTAACGTGAGGCTGCCCGTCACAAAAGGCATGCAGGAATACTGCAAGCAGCTCGGCGGCAGTTCCCATAGGATGGGGCGGGGAGGTTCTGCAGCAGGTTGGTCTCCTGTAGCCCTTGCTAACTTCGCTTATCTTCCTTCCCCTTCCAGAGAGCGCGCAAAGCTCAGAGCAAGCGCTCCACACTTAGACCCGCAAAACCTCTAGCCACTTTGGACAACACTGCCAATCGAACAAAAAAACCACATTAATTTTCCATCGGGCAGGCAGACCCGCTGTCAGGTTCATGTGTGACCCAAATGGCAGGTTGAACTCTGTTGGCCACCAAAAGCAAAAAGGTAACTTTTTGGCCCACCTTGCTCCCCATTTTGCTCATTCTCAAACAGCGAATCTAACCCAGTTCCCAAAATTTCATTTCTCATGCCCAGCCAATGAGGGTCGTAGTCATTTACCGTCTCCAGCAGCTGCTGCCCGTACGATGGGGCCGGAGCGGCGAGTGTCCCTTGATACCCCCCTTCATGTTTTGGAAGTACCAAAGGAGGACTAGCGTGACTAGCCGCAAGCAGAGGTGGACTGCGCCTCATCTGCTCGAGCTCAAGCTTAGATTCCCCTTCACCGTAACTGAAAGCGGAGCCCTTCCCAAGGGGAGAAGTGTTTGACTTGATATACAAACAGTTCTCATCGCCCAGGCCCTGGTCAGCATTCAAGCAGTTTAGGACAGGCCTCCTATACACGTTCTCTTTGGCTGCCAAGTACTGGTGATCTTCTATACAAGACTGGAAAACATCTGCATCCGAGTAGCAGCTTTCAGGGAAAGACTTCTTCAGGTACGGATATTCCTGCGCCTGCTGCACAGGGAGTGAGAGCTGGGGGGGGGTCCCCACGCTTCCCGCACCGAGTGGGACCCCTTTTCCCACGCAGTCCAAACCGAAGTGAGCTGGGGTCTGACCCGGGGCTCCAAAAGTGTTATCCAAGCTCCTGAAATGAGTACCGACCCTTAAGTACGGCTGCCCCGAGTAGG